TTCTGCTGTTCCAGAAAATTCAAAAATTAAGTACAAATGTGTGGACATTAATCACTCCTAAGCCAACTTACTCAGACCTGGTCTGAAGGTAATCCAGTTGCTTTTGTAAGGGAAGGAGGTTGGGACTGCAGAGATGGTCAGGACCACCAGACAATGATTACTTCCTGGGGAGGGTTTTCCCTCCACTGTATGGACATTTCCCTGTAAACCACGAGTGATATGTGCAAAACCTCTATTACATTCATTAATATTTTTGGAGAGAAGAAGAAGGAAGCGGAGATAAGAAGGAAGAGAAGATAAGAAGGAAGAGGAGATAAGAAGGAAGAGGAAGTAAGATGGAAGAGGAGATAATAAGGAAGAGGAGATGAGAAGAATAAGGAAGAAGGAAGAGGAGCTAAGAAGAAGGAAGAGGAGATAAGAAGAAAGAACAGGAGAGAAGAAGTAGAAGGAAGAGGAGATAAGAAGAAAGAACAGGAGAGAAGAAGTAGAAGGAAGAGGAGATAAGAAGAAAGAACAGGAGAGAAGAAGTAGAAGGAAGAGGAGATAAGAAGAAAGAACAGGAGAGAAGAAGTAGAAGGAAGAGGAGATAAGAAGAAAGAACAGGAGAGAAGAAGTAGAAGGAAGAGGAGATAAGAAGAAAGAACAGGAGAGAAGAAGTAGAAGGAAGAGGAGATAAGAAGAAAGAACAGGAGAGAAGAAGTAGAAGGAAGAGGAGATAAGAAGAAAGAACAGGAGAGAAGAAGAAGAAGGAAGAGGAGATAAGAAGAAGAAGAAGGAAGAGGAGATAAGAAGGAAGAGGAAGTAAGAAGGAAGAGGAGATAATAAGGAAGAGGAGATGAGAAGAATAAGGAAGAAGGAAGAGGAGCTAAGAAGAAGGAAGAGGAGGAGAAGGAGAAGAAGAAGGAAGAGGAGGAGAAGGAGAAGAAGAAGGAAGAGGAGGAGAAGGAGAAGAAGAAGGAAGAGGAGATAAGAAGAAGGAAGAGGAGATAAGAAGGGAGAAATAAGAGCAGATAAAAAGGAAGAGGAGATAAGAAGGAAGAGGAGATAGGAAGAAGAGAGAAGGAGAAGAAGGAGAAGGAGAAGAAGGAAAAGGAGAAGGAGAAGAAGAAGGAGAATAAAAAGAGGAAGGGTAGGGAGAAGAAACAATATTATTATTATTTTCACAGCCCCTGGGCCCTGAGGCCTAACTATTCATTGAAGAAATGATAGAAAGTCTGTTTTAAAACTCTCAGGGTTAAGAGTTACCCTACCATTAAAAAAAGCAGTTAAAGGGAGTAAATATTTGCACGGTCGGCAGTGGAGCGAGTGGCGAGCTTTTCACGAAAATTCTGTTTGCGGAAAAATCGGAAGAAAAAACAAAGGCGACGGCTTCCACTCCCGTGCACACATCTGATCTCGGAAGGATTGCAGGTGGATCTGGGTGAGATGGAAGACAAACACCTGTAATGTCACAATAAATACCACGCTGTCCACGGCTGCCCGAAGATGATTGATCTCCGTGGAGGGCCTGCTTGTCACGCAGCTTTAAAAAAAAAATGTAATATATTACTAACGCGTGCGTCCGTTCCTTCACTAGGTATTTAGGAATGGTGCACGGAAATTGTATCCTTGCATGATGTCCACCTCCTGTGCAAGAGCAATGAGGCAGCACACAGCAGTGACGGCAGGGATAGGCAAACATGGTATTCCAGCTGTGGTGGAACTACAAGTCCCATGAGGCTTTGCAAGACTCTAACAGCAACAGACATGACTCCCAGAGGCAGATGCATGATGGGATATGTAGCTCCACCACAGCTGGGATCCCAAGGTTGCCTACCTCTGAGTTATGGTGTGAATTAACCCCAGGCAACCAGAAATAATAATAGTTGACTTCAAGAAGCTGAACTTTGGTTGCTATGGGTTATTGCTCTCTCCTCATCTCTGCTGCAACTTGTACTGTTTATACATGACGCATTAAAGGGCTTTAAAAGTATACTCCACTTTTTGGACCATGTTTTATGTTACACCCATATTTAGCATGTAACAGAAAGCTTGTTCACATTGTCCAGCCCCCACCCTAGAATAACCCCTTCACCTCCTCCTCCCCCTGTCTATGACTTGCTCCATTTTTAACCCCTTAATACCCCTTTAATACCGGTATGTTTCTTCATTTACAAAAAAACATCAGTGCCTACTTTCCAAAATGGGTCATTTCGGGGGGTTTTGTACAGTCCTGATATTTTTATTCAAAAACTAACAGTGTTGTAACACAGCCTTGGCTTGTTACAATGTTTCTGGTGACATGAGCAGAGGATTGGTATTATTATACAGTCATACAGATGGTTACTTCTCTGCATAGGGCCACAGTGCTACGGGGCCACCTAGCAGTCACGCGGGAAGCTCCTGCCATAGTAACAACCATGAGTAAACAGTGGCCTGTCTTGGGTTTCGGCGAGTGAGATCAGGTGAACTATGATGTAACAAAATACATCTACCTGTTAAATAATGTATTCTATAGTCTTACCCAAGATGAATTACACATGGTAGGCAGCGATCTGTCATTTGGGAACGAAGCTTTCAAAACAACACAAATCCTATGAATAAATAAACACGGCCGTCCAATCATTCCAACACAAACTTAAAGACAACCTGTCACCAAAATGAAACTTGAAATAACATCTGCTTGTATAGAGGAGATAGTGAATACCTACAGTACCTCCGCTGCTGTCTGTGCGTGCACTGCTGAGCACCCCTTTCACAAAGAGGAATAGTCTGATGAAGTTTCTGTAGAAACCGACATTTCCCAGAGTGTCGACCGCCTGTGTCCCCCACTGTGCTTAGTGGTTCCTCCCGCCAGCCGTTAAGTTACTACAGGACGCAGCATAGATATAGGGACTGGTGGCAGAAACCACTGAGCTCAGCAGAAATGTAGGGGTTGGCGGGAAGAACCACTGAGCACAGCAGAGATGTAGGAGTTGGCAGGAGGAACCACTGTGCGCAGCTGGGATGTAGAGGTTGGTGGGAAGAACCACTGGGCACAGCAGAGATGTAGGGGTTGGCAGAGGAACCACTGAGTATAGCAGAGATGTAGGGGTTGTCGGGAAGAACCATTGAGCACAGCAGAGATGTAGGGGTTGGTGGGAGGAACCACTCACAGCAGCAGAGATATAGCTATTGGTGGGAAGGACCACTGAGAGTAGCAGAGATGTAGAGGTTGGCGGGAGAGACCACTGAGAGCAGTGGGGATGTAGGGGTTAGTGGGAGGAACCAATGAGCTCAGCAGAGATGTAGGGGTTAGTGGGAGGAACCACTGCACTCAGGAGAGATGTAGGGGTTGGCAGGATGAAGCACTAAGTGCCACAGAGATGTAGGGGTTCGGTGGAGGAACCACTGAGTGCAGCAGAGATGTAGGAGTTGGCGGGAGGAAGAACTGAGTGCAGCAGAGATGTAGGGGTTTGTGGGAGGAACCACTGACCACAGCAGAGATGTAAGGGTTGGTGGGAGGAACCAGTGAGCTCAGCAGAGAAGCAGGGGTTGGCGGTAGGAACTGGTGAGCTCAGCAGAGATGTAGGGGTTGGCTGAAAGAACTGGTAAGCGCAGCAAAGATGTAAGGGTTTGCGGGGGGAACCAGTGAGCTCAGCAGAGAAGTAGGGGTTGGCGGAAGAACTGGTGAGCTCAGCAGAGAAGTAGGGGTTGGCGGAAGGAACTGGTGAGCTCAGCAGAGAAGTAGGGGTTGGCGGAAGGAACTGGTGAGCTCAGCAGAGATCCAATGGTTTACACTGTTCCAAGTTATCTATGAGGACTATAGAACCACACCCTTCTATGGTACGTCATGGAGAAGAATGGAAGGGGTGCTTCTGCAGCCCTGTCTTAGCGTGACAACCCCGTCTCTCTATAACCAATTTGCAGAGCCATCCGTCCTACGAATCTTTCTTGTGCACAGCAGTACGAAGTATTATAAATGTTAGACACTGAAAAGTGTACCTAGTGACATCTTAAACAGACGTCCACATGCTTACATACCATTAGTCCTAAAGCTGAACTCCAGACAAATATAAAAGACACGAGGTAATGCAGTTCTGTAATCAATAATACACCAATACATGTATATTTTGGTGCCTATCCATGGGTACTCTGCCATGCCGGCACAGGAAAATTTGTATCAATACCTATTGTCATTTTCCTTTCCTGGTGCCTATCTACGGTATGGGTGTGCTGCCCTGAACTCACCAGGATGACAGAAAATTGTATAAATACCGCAATTTTCCTTTCCGTATCCAAACTTTTATGGCCATACACCCCCTATATATGTCCAAATGAGCTGAGATGGACCACCATTGCTCAGGGCCGACATGTAATTTAGTTCATTCTCAATGACTGAAAGCCCAGGTCATGCTGTGTATGTGCCACCAGCGCACGAACGACCCATTCAGGGATATAAACATCAAAAGGGTGTAATGCTACACATTTCTCTCTGTGCGCCAATCTTTACGTTCCCCCTTTAAATCAGTATTCACTTTTATTACTCCAGACAACAAAATGTTAACGGTTAAAAATATGAATTTTAATGTTTTCAGTGGAATACTAATGCTTGGCTTGCAGCAAACATATGTAGTAATTGCAAAATGCAACAGGTGCTCTAAAAGTTGACTTTCTTAAAACTTCTGTTGTGCTACTTTCACCTTTGCAGAAGCTTATGGTTCGCAGTGAATCAGAGAACTACAAGTCCCAGCAACGCTTTCCAGACTTTTCTCTCACAAGGAATACCGGGAGTTGTAGTTCCCTACCAGCTGCATAGGTTGATCACTCCCAGTTTCCGGGTGTCGCTGGAATCATGTGATTGGGGAGGGCGAGTGGACAGGTCGACCAATCAGCTATGACCTTCCCTGATGGACATCGCATTGCTAAGCAATCAAAGCTGAAAAACCTGCCCTTCCGTCCTAGCCCCGCCTCTCAGCTTCACCGCCCTTCCTTCGCGATGACGTAGCTCTGGCAGGCACAAATCACAACCCTGTGTTCGAGAAGTGACATCCCCTTCGACCAATCGGGAATGCCGGGTGGCGGCCGTTGGGTTGAGTGGATGGCAGAGGAAGCTGAGCGGTAACGGAGAGCTGCTGCTGAGACCGAGAAGCAACCATGGGGAACAGGGGGATGGAGGAGCTCATTCCCCTTGTCAACAAGCTCCAGGACGCCTTCAGCTCTATAGGCCAGGCCTGCAACCTCGACCTGCCTCAGATAGCCGTGGTGGGGGGACAGAGCGCCGGCAAGAGCTCCGTGCTCGAGAACTTCGTAGGCCGGTAAGTTCTCCCAGGAGCTGGACTGCAGCCGCCCGGGTGTCAAGCTCGCTATTATACGCTTCTTGGTATTCACAGAAGGACTTTGCGCACTTTGCTTAGTTTCTTCCTCGGGCTGTTCAATGAGTGACGTCACGGGGCAAAGCTAGTTCTGCTGACAGCGGGGCTCCGAGAGGTCTCCAGGGTGATGGGGAGGCTCTGGTGACACCCAGTGTCCATGGCCTGTGTGCCCCTCCTCCACATCTGTATATATACTGGAGGTGAGGAAGAGGGGGGGCTTACTGATTTACCAAGGGGGGGCACACTTTATTGTTGTTAACTTGGATACATAGTGTACAAAAGCTGCATACACCTGTATATATGTGGACGCTGCAAACAAGTGGTTTTGTATGTTCAAAACAATTTTTCAAATAGAGACTATTAAAAATGTTAAAGCTGAATGATGGTCACCATAACTTTCATTGAGGTGTGATCCAGGCCTAATGTAGTGCCAAACATACTATAAAACATACAGGGTTGTTACTTAATTGGCCAACGCATGTAAATCCACTTTGAGCTCACCCAAGGCCTTGTAAACGTAACAAAGACATAATCACTGCTGCACGGAACTGTCTCAGAGCTGTGGGAGGAGCCCATTAGGCCACACCCACTACATGCTGCCTGCAGGAGGGGTGGAGTTAAGACCAGTCACCCTGCACATGGAGAGTGAGCAGAAGTGACTGGTCTATATTACAGGAGAGGGCCGAGACAAGACCAGTCACAAGGAGGGAGAGCAGCAGTGACTGGTCTTTATTACAGGAGGGGGCGGAGAAAAGACCAGTCACAAGGAGGGAGAGCAGCAGTGACTGGTCTTTATTACAGGAGGGGGCGGACACCAGACCAGTCACCCTTCACATGGAGGGAGAGCAGCAGTAACCGGTCTTTATTACAGGAAGGTCTTCAAACTGGATTACTACAGAGATGTTGAAGAAACATACAAAGCTCACCAAGAGTCAGGAAGAATACACGTCTGGTTTCTTTGGAACCTGTGACATCTACCTGTGTGTAGCTATGTAATATGTGCACACTCAGGCCCTGACCGTCTCCTGTGCCAGGTCTGCAGTCAGAGGCTGCGCGCAGGGTAGGGGTGACGGTAGGGGGCTGCGCGCAGGGTAGGGGTGACGGTAGGGGGCTGCACGCAGGGTAGGGGTGACGGTAGGGGGCTGCGCGCAGGGTAGGGGTGACTGTAGGGGGCTGCGCGCAGGGTAGGGGTGAGGGTAGGGAGCTGCGCGCAGGGTAGGGGTGACGGTAGGGGGTTGCGCGCAGGGTAGGGGTGACGGTAGGGGGCTGCGCGCATGAGACGATCAGAGGCAGCCCCTGAGCGTCTCCTGTGGCATGTCTGCAGTCAGTGATGGTTTTCTGCTGTATTACATTCATACATGCGGTCCTTTGGTGAGGTCTGAGCCCATAGGCTTTATGTACCAAGAAAGTTGACCACCCTTGTTGCCCATTCACACCTATGCGTATTGTAATATGCGCGTCTGTCGCGCGACCGTCACGCGTTTTTTTTACCGCGATTCGCGGTAAAAAAGTCGTGCGATTCCAAAGGCTACTTGGCAGTATCCAAATGGAAAACGCCCTACAAAACGGACCAATACGCAGCAAAAACGCTCCGGGACCTTTTCATGCGTGGGCCGTTTTGTAGTGCGTTCGGGACGGGCGGAAATACGGACAGGTGGGAACGATACCATTGATTACAATGCTATTTATTTTTTTGACCGTTTTGTAGAGCGTTCATCGAGCATAGGACGCGCTACAAAACGGTCAGGTGTGAATGGGGCCTTGGTGTGTACACACTAGGGATGTCCCGATGCCACTTTTTCAGGCCCAAGTACATCCCCTCATGTACTTGCCGATACCAATTACCGATACTTTTTCTTTAAAAAAAAAAATATATATGCTGCTGCTCTGTGCAAGTCCTGTAACCTTTGCCTATATGAACTCTTTCTTTGAGAGCACTCAGGCTGACATTTTGTACCGGGGAACAATTTTCTTATCTATAGATAGAGGTGTGTGTGTGTGTATATTTAAATATAAACCCAATCACTAAAACCTCATATAAACTTTAACATGCAAAAGCAGAACTACATCCGCTGCTGACCTCAGAGCTTTTGGCATAACTTGCATTCTTGTCTGTGACTGGACAGTTAAAGGAGAAGCAGTGCAGTGATGAGCTCATCTCTCAGTCACAATGCTCTGTCTTCCTATTGGCATTCTCCTCGTCAGCATAGGAACTAATCGTCTCCTTTTACTGCTTCTTCCTCTTACACTCCAGCCCTGCTGTACAAGGATTGCCAGAGCCTGATAACAGGACAATTTAATGGTTTGATAATGAAGACAGACTCATTCTTTTGTGTCTTCAATATCTGCTTGGAGTTGAATCGAAGGTAATCTGCTGACCGAAAAAACAAAAACAAAACAAGTTTGGGCCCCTGGAGCTTTTAGCTCTAAGGTGCCAGTATGCACAGCCCATTATGGCAGTCATGAATACCAAATTGATCCCTTCCAGTGCCACGTTTATTTATTTTTTATTATATGTATACTTAGGCCTTTTATTCACTCAGTCCTTTATTTGGTGATAGAACAGGTTTATCATCTCGCACCACTCTCCAGTGATGACCCTCATGCTTCTATCGGGTGTCTCTCTGGCATATGTTGTGTGTGTGATGTCAGGGGAGGGGGAGATAATGCAGAAACTGGGTGTGTTGACACTCGTGTACTGGAGATCCATGGAGCTCCTGCCTATCTACTTCTACAATGCTTCATTACACATGAGGGACAATGCTCTGAAAATGCTGCATTTACGACCGTGCACTGAGGGGAAAGGCTTGAATGACCAAGTCATTAATTTAGGAACTCGTACATGCAGTGAGTTATGACTTTCCAGGGAAGTGTGTTATAGTGACCCAGCTTAAAGTATTAAAAGGTAACAGTAGTGCTGAAATGTAAACGCCTCGTAGTACAGTGCTTGTGTTATCCTTTCCAATAGATCTCAGTGGCTCCCCTTGTACAGCCTGGTCATATTCAAACACCTAGTAGTACTTGTGTTAGCCTTCCAGTAGATCCCAGTGGCTTCCCTTGGATAGGACCAGGCTGTGCAAACACCTACAGGTATATTCCCTATAGGGTGAAGAGTTTGGAGAAGGCAGGAGAAGTGAACAATCTAGGACAACATCGCTGATTTGGAAAGTGAGCTGAATTGGAGAATTTTTGTCCTAGATTGTTCACTTCTCCTGCCTTCTCCAAGCTCTTCACCCTTTAGTGAATAGACCTGCTAGTAGTACTTGTGTTATTCTTCCAGTATACCCCAGTGCCTCCTCCTTGGCTAGTCCCAGGCTGTACAAACGCCTAGTAGTACTTGTGTTATCCTTCCAGTAGATCCCAGTGCCTCCTCCTTGGATAGTCCCAGGCTGTACAAACGCCTAGTAGTACTTGTGTTATCCTTCCAGTAGATCCCAGTGCCTCCTCTTTGGATAGTCCCAGGCTGTACAAATGCCTAGTACCCTGTTTCCCCTAAAATAAGCCCTCGTTCACACCTAGGCGTATTGCATATGCGCGTCTGTCTCGCGGTTTTTTTACCGCAATTCGCGGTAAAAAAGTTGCGCCTTTCCGAAGGCTACTTGGCTGTATCCCAATGGAAACGCGCAAACAAAACGGCCCAAAGTAGTACCTGGACCTTTTCAGGCGTGGACCGTTTTGTAGCGCGTTAGGGACGGGCGGAAACACGCCAAGGTGGGAACGAGACCATTGAATACAATGCAATTTATATTTTTGACCGTTTTGTAGAGCGTTCGTTGAGCGTACAAAACGGTCAGAACGAGTGCTTAGACCTACCCCGAAAGTAAGACCTAGCACTATTTTTAAAGATTCCTGTAATATAAGACCTACCCCGAAAATAAGACCTAGTTTGGTGGTAGCATGTGAGTGGAAACTTGAAGAGCAGGAGAGATGGTATCAGCCTGCAGAGACCTACTGTATTAAGGGGATGACAGGGAGCACTCCAGTACCAGACTTCACCAACTGCTGTCCCTGAAGGCACTGCTTAAAGGAGAACTATGAGGTGAGTGCTTTTCACTCACTTCATAGTTCTAGCCGGCCTGTGACAATGAGACTGTCACAGGTCGGCTCAGTAGATCGGGAGGTGAGCGAACACATACCGGCGTTCGCTCACCTCTCGATCCTGTCACGGCTCTCTGCCGTG